AAAAAAAAAAAAAAAAGCCCAAGGAGCCGTGGAGCAAGCACTCTACAGAACCCTCAGGTCCTGGACTGATGAATGCCCATCATCACCGCTAGGTGGAAGCATAAATCCACAATAGCTTCATTTTTCTGCTTGGAGGAGCACTAAAATCTAACCTGAGAAGTGTGGAAGTAAGGTCTGCATGCTGAGGTTGTTGTTGTGTTTATCCTACCTCGGGTTCTCACGCTGCACTATTGCCAAGCTTATTTTTACTTGTACTTCATTGAAGGTGGACTTAGTCAACATCCTCAAAAGTTGTCGTTAAGGTCTTCCAATAAAAAGTTACTCTCCCCAGTTTGATGAAAAATTTGAATGGCTATTTCTAGCCTTTGGGTTAATAATTATAGTGAAATCTGTGAGTTTGAGGAATTTGTGTTTAGCTTTTTTTCTTTTTCTTTGTTCATTTAAATAAATATGTTGTACATTGCTCTCCCACCCTATCTCTGCCTTTTAAAAACAATCACACTTTGGCAAAACTGTGGTTCGGTGTTACAAATGAGGGTCTTACCTCTGTCCATATTTAATCTTGGCAAAAATCATTAGTGCATGACATCATGACATAAGAGAGCATCTATGTACAAACATATACAATTTTATTGATATCTCTACAGACTACAAGAATTTTGTTAAGTATAGTCACAATTGCTGAGTGCAACAGAAAAATAGTAATTTGTCATTTTCTGAAAAGATGCAAAAATTCTGAAGATGAAAGAAAGATACATCAATGATGTCATCTGTCTCTTATTTCCTAGAATAAAACATCACATAATTAAGTACTAAAAATTATAGGTTATTAGAGATTTTGATCCTGTGTACAATTGTCCACAACCACCACCTAGTTTATGTTCTGGCTTTGCAGTTGAGAAGGGTGGGCCAATACCAGAGGGAAAGCAGTGTGAGAGGCAAGAACTCTGAACTTTTTCTCGTTATGTGTTACTGTCTTTGAGAGGCTGGATTCTCCCTTTTGGAAGGTATAAGCACTCTTTCAGGGCACTAGAGTTCAGATAGAAGTTACAGGCATTCTCTTCCCTTGCAACACATCCAACAACTGAAAAATAAATTCAAGTGACCCTGGGAGCTTTTGATTGAGACAACAATCAAAGAGGAAGAGTTGTTCTCCCCTTTTTTGCTAAGACCAAGTCCAATAAAACATACCTACAGCAGAACAGGTACCTGGTACCCATGTCTGAAGAAGAACGAACAATAAATTTGGACCTGATGTAAGTAAATGATTATTTTGGGAATTTCTACTGTCCAAATACTGAGATTAGTTTTCCACTTAACTTTATATACTGCTGGATTTTCTGTTCTGTTTCTGGTATCTTGTGATGTCCTATGTATAAGACAATAAAAAAACCTGGATGTTTGAATTGGAATGAGTGGGCAAGTCACACAGGAAAATACCACAAAGACAGCAGTTGGGAGTTAATGTGGCACTGCCTGATCAGAAATCCATACATATTTTTGCTTTGTGTGAAAAATACAGAATAAATAGCAACCTAGCCATCATTATCTCTCACATTTTGCCTTCCATGACCCACTCAGAAGTGGGGCTGGGACACCAGCCAAGGTAGATAAACATGTTTTCCTTAGTTGGCCATAAAGCAGTGATGATCAGCTCTGGCGGGACATTAGAACCACCTTGCAAACTTCAAAAAATACTGATGTCTGGTTCCCACTCTGAGAGATTTTGATATAATTGGGAATTTTACAATTTCCTGAGGTGATTCTTATGTACAGGCAAGGCTGAGAATCACTCCTCTTGACAAATATATAAAGGCATTTATATGCACATCTAATTCCTCATCAAAGCTTCTTCCGCTTTACTCTGGCTCCCAGGTTCCTCCTCACCACAACCCTCTTGCACCAAATTAGTACTTCCTCTCCTTTCCTAAGCCAGACCTTCTGTCCTTTCTGGGCTATGTTTTCTACAAACACACACACTAAACCTGGGATGCTGTCAACCATGTTCCCTGGAATGGTGCTTCTTAAAGATACTGCTCGGCCCAAGTACAAAACAAGTACTTCTGGCACCTGGGGCAGTGTGCATGAGAAACGGACCCAACCAAAAATGGATTTGGGCTACAGAGGACAGAGGTGAAAATGCTCTGAAGGCTACCACGTTTCTCCTGATGCAAAGACCAAGAGCCGATATGAATGCTTTGATTCCTTTTGCTATTGCCCTCTCTGAGTTACTGTGGCAGGTCACAGGGTTCTTTTTTCCCACAGGGATGGCTTGTAATCATACAGAAAAACTCCCAGGTTGTTTCAGCTATCCTAAGTCAAGGAGAGGATTTTTCTAGACTAGTTTCGTTATTCCCTTCTGTCTGATTATTTGTGTCCAATATCTTAAAGAATCTAGCTTAATCTCTTGCAACCAACCTTAGGCCTACTTTGATTCTTCTTTCTCCAGTCACAATGATTCTTTAATGCAGGATGGTATTTTAAAAACTGGATACATAGGTCATACCAAAAGGGACTCCAACAATAAACTTTTTCCTTTGAGATCCTCTAAAAATGTTAGATGGGACCAAGGTTTTCATTTATTAGCTTGAGAATCAAGTTCAAAGACGTAAAAAATTGTTGTTATGACTGAATTACTAGAAACCATCTCATTCAGTTCTGTCACTGTTGTTCCAAAGTTGCAGTCAGACAGTGACCCTGATGATGACTGGTGCACTAAGTCTGGGGTTCAATGAAGCATGAGAAACAAAGTCAGTACTGCTGCTTTTGCAGGGGATTAAAATGAATAATAGATCAATTATCCCAACATCAAAACTCCATGATTAGTGAATGATTACATGATGGGGATTATTGCTCACATTATTACTGGAAAACAAAACTTCTAGCTTCTCACTGATGGAAAGATCTGCAAAGCCTATGTTCCGCTGGGACACTAAGAAGGGCTTATCTCTTGAGGGAGTCATGAGAGACAGGTCAACTCGCTGAGACTGCAGTTTGCAAGCTTTATCTTCTGATACCACCATAACAGAGAGAATGCAATTTTGATGATACCTAAGGCTCTCAGAGTCATTTTTTCTATCATTGTCCAAATTACTAAGAATATTTTCCTTATGTTTTAAGATAGAAGAAAGATAGTAAAGATAAGAAGATGCAAAGATTACATGGATTAACAGTACTAATTTTCCAAAGATGGTGATGACTATGATTAGGTGATGGTGATGGTGGTGGTGGTGGTGATAGTGATGGTGTGTGGGTGTGTGTGTGTGTGTTTGCATGCTAAGGTCAGTGCAACAGAACAGAAATATTCAAAGAGAAAAATCACATCCACATTAGATTCTTGTTATTGCTGTCTCTTTGAATTACAAAAATAATTTTGATACAGTAAAACCTCATTAATTTGAATTCCACTAATCAGAAGGAGTTTGTGAGATGAAGGTACCCTTACATTAAGAAAGGGCTTATAAAAACAATTCTGAAAGTCACATCTAAACTACTCAAAAAAACCTATTCTTTTCAAGCATTTCAGAAGCACCTATTTACTTCCAGTTGATTTTTATCTATTCATTAAAGTCAGAGTTTTAAGCATGTCTACTGTGAAATGCTGCAATGTCCTTTCTGATATTTTTTTCTGTGTGCTTTATATTCTATAGCTGTTATTTTTCACTGATTCATATAAGCTTTCTCCAAAATTGTATTTTATTGCATATGAACACACATGTAACTTTGTGTATAATAATTTATCTTGCTAAGACACTGTGCACTTATAATGTGCAGTTTTATACAAGACATATATTACATATTCACATAATCTATCTCTTTAAATGATGTAGGATAGTGCTCTAAACTAGGAGAAATCTTGGCAATGGCTGGAGACATTTTTGATCGTCATTACCAGGGAGTTCCTTCTGGTATCTGATAGACAGAAGTCAAAGATGTCATTAACATTCTACACAAGACAGTCCCCCACAACAGACTTTTCTGTGGATTGTGCCATTATTGAGAAACTCTGGTGTGGGACAACTTAAGTCAAATGTTACTGGGGGGGCCTTGTAGTAGTCATCAAATTTAGTGCTAATTTGGACTGAATTTTATTTCTAAATAAACGAATATTTCACTCTTTTAGGTTTTTTAAAAACATAAATGATAAAATATTTGTTTAGAAAATCAGAAAACTGGGTCCTTGTACTGATGGTACAAATAGTGCATTACAATTTGATCGCCAATATTTTCCACATCCTGGTCTCAAGCTTCTACAATATTTTGACTATATAACTTTGTAACTAGATAAGTTATATAGTCATGCCATGTCTGTAATTCCAGGGCAGGATCTATTATCCTAAAGTCATTCACAGGAGTCTGGGAGGTTCAGGGAGAGGATTTTAAAAAATAAGCAGGAGGATTCAAAGACTCTGAAAAATGCTATCCCAGTATATATTTTCCGATTGTTTCAATTATTTTTGCACTTCTCAGAATTCTGAGACATTGTAAAGAAAGTGCTACTTCAAACAAAACATTTTTAAAAACAGATATTCTATTTTTGACTATTTAAATAATCTGGACTCTAGGAAAATGATAAATTCTTAAGAAATACAAATGTAAACCAATAAAGACTTTGATGAATCAAAATTCAATAAGTCAAACCCATAATTTTAAAAACAGATTTTTTTGGAAGAATCATATTACAGAAGGGGTCCTGGAATATGCCCACATACATTCTTATGACTTTTGGCTTTCAGAATCATGTTAAATGGTAGTTGGTGTCTTTATTTTGTTTTGCCTCTAGTGCTTCTTTGTAGAGTTATGATAGATACCTTTCATCCTGTTAGGGTATTCTTTATTACATTTTAAAAAAAGTTTTAAATAAGGAAAAGGTGTTGGCATCTGTTGACATAATTCTGTGGCTTATATTATTTAACCTAGTTAGTGACACAATTATTGATTTTGTATCATTACACTCTCCTTATATTTTTGTTGTCCATGATAACTGAGGCCATGACAGCAAAAATATCACTACATTTTATAAAAATTTCCAACAATAATTAGTGAACCAAAAAGTATTTTCTAATGAAAGCCCTTATTAATTTGAAGTGAATCAACCAGAATCCCTTTCTCAAAACATTAACTGAGGTTTTACTGAATCACACTAAAGAGAATGACCGGTTTGGTCTGTGAATGTCAGGCTGCGAGAGCACCTTGAGTTGTAGACCCCACTGGGTTTGAACAGTAATATACTGTGTAACTGACAGACAAGGATACAAATGGAGTTCTAAAAATATATCACTTTAGAAACTGAAATTGGGGTGTCTGAAATTTCACTTTCTTGTGAAATCAGTTCTCATAGCTAACTGCGTTGCTCCTAGTCTAGTTTCCCTAAACCTATCATCAACTCCCGTGCAGAGTATAAGCCAGGCTGAGAAAATGCTTTGGGGTGACCCAACCCTGCATGGTTTGTGCTAAAAACAGCAACTCATTCTGAAGGTGTTAGAAATGGAAATAATTGTGTTGGGAATAATTTACTATATTGGCAATACTTGATTATGACTGAGAACTGTGGAGAGAGACCTGTGGAGAGGGAACACTAATCAGACTCTTGCCATAAGAATTCAATAATGTTCTAGTCTAATGAAAGTTACACATGAGAAGAAAACTCTGGGTTTTTGTTTTGTTGTGTTGTTTTCCTATTCAGTAGGGTATGGCAAATATATTTGAAGTGCACTGAAATCTTCTAATGCAGATTTTTTAAATTGTCAGTGTGGCCCAATTGATAAAAACAGTTTACCATAAATCTTTTTTTTTCTTCTGTTACAACATGCTCTTTTTCTTTTCCTCTTAAGATGTTAATTTATCATGCAAAGAATTTTTTTCATTAAGTGCATTAATGCTTTTGTTTATACAGGAATTTTCAGATCAAAAGGACTCCCCATGGTTCCTAAATGTAAATCCTTAGCAAATGACATGCCAAGATGACAGCCCCATTCCACATGGGAAAAGGCAAATTCAGCCATGTCTTGGGATTCTAACCAGGGCTCCAGCCTTTGGGTTATACAGTGTCTCTGATACGTCTCCTTGATGATAACTTCAGATTTACTGTAATGGAACATTTTGTAGAAGAAACTGGCTTTTAGCAGTTGAATAGTGATGCTGGGAATAAATTTGGTTTCCCTGAATAATGGCTTCTCAAAGCAGTCACAGCTTCTTTAGAAGTTTAGAATTGGTACCATTTCTTATCCTTATATTTCAGCATTAACTGCAAAGAAAAAAATAGTCACCATAAGATTCTTCAAAATAAATTAAAAGTGCTATTCACATCAAGCCCATATTGAGCTAATCTGGTATATCTAACTAAATCTCAAAACTTACAATCAAACTGTTATGCTTCTTTTATTTTGTGGAATCGAGTACATATGAGAAAGATTTAAAAAACAAACACGCACCTGATGAAGCTGTAAAGACTCAGTTGATAGGAAATGATGTTTAATGATTGAAACAAAATGGGGGGTGTGGGTCCCAGCCTCATGCCTCCATGATCACGTAATCTACCTAAACACCTTTGAAGCTGAAGGTGCACAATACAGACCCAATATATCAGAACCAATGGATGATTTTCTTTAATTATTTCCAAAGGTACAGAGTATCAATGTTACAGTATTTTTAAAAACCTTTTATCTTCCACATGTTGGGGAAATTATAATACTTAGAAGAGATTCAGGTTACCCTGATTATCACACGGAATCTCTGTCTCAGCTCTCTTGTGCAGGACCTAAACGTGTGAAGTTACCACTGTATGAAGATGACTCTGCTTACATAGGCAGTTTACCTCATGTGCGTGTTTGGAGAATGCTTCTGCGCTGGTCATCATGCCTGCAGTTTTCTCCTCCAGCTCTCCCAGCCTTTGTCCTCTCTCGTCAAGTGCAATCCGTGCTCGGGTCAGCTCTCCCATCACTCCTCCAGCAGCACCTTTCACACCTTCTATGCCACCTGGGCCAGGAATGTGTTGTGCGAGGCTGCGGGATGCTTTTCCTGCTGAAGCTTCCCCAACTGGAAATTCAAGCCATGGCAGTTTAAAGCATTTTGTCAGGAATTCAAATAGTCAAGCTTGTCACCAAGGAAAAGTACTTATATTACATTCTACTGTCATAATTCTCATTAAAAGAGAGACATATTGGGTCCTGTCACGTATTTGTGTTTGGAGATGTTAGCACTTACTCAAGAAAAATGACTAAGAGACCGAGAGAGATATTGCTACCACATGCCTGTTTTGTGTGTGTGGCTTCCATGCAATATTGCATTTATTGACATGGCTGAACTGGAATACTTAAAACATATGCGACCTCATATTTAACATATATTATTGTCTGTTCCAATCTTAGGCCTGATCATTTACTTAAATTTCTGTCCAGGTTATTCCAACCTTCTCTGTTCATCTTGAAATATTAGCCTTTGTAGGCCTCAGATTTTCTCTGTCTTTCCTTCTGTAAATACTAGAGAATAGGGTATAAATATATATATGTGATTGATATTAATATACGTATGTTAAATTTTGTGACTTATACAAGCTAAAAAAAACTTTCCAGTCACTTGCAAATTCAGTTCTTTTCAGTTTCAATGGAGTAAAACAATTTTTTTCAGAGATGGGGTCTTGCTATGTTGCCCAGGCTGGACTTGAACTTCTGGGCTCAAGCAACCCTTCTGCCTTAGCCTCCCAACTTGCTGGGACTACAGGCACATGCCCCAACAGTTGACTCTCAATGAAGCTAAAAAAAAATATTGAAAGATAGCTATCTTGGCAGAAATTTAGTGAGCCTTCCCACAGATGTCACTATGGGATAAAATCTAGTTTTTTTTTTTTAACAAGATGAAATCTCAGTTTGTTTGGGTTTTTTTTTGTTTTTTGTTTTGAGTTGGAGTCTCACTCTGTCACCCAGACTAGAGTGCAGTGGCCGCTCCCGGCCACCGCAGCCTCGACCTGCTGGGCTCCAGCAATCCTTCCGCCTCAGCCTTCCAAGTAGCCAGAATTATAGGCATGCGCTACCATGCCCGGCTGATCTTTTGATTTATTGTAGAGATGATGTCTCGCCTGCCCAGGTGGGTCTCGAACCCGCGGGCTCAGGCAATCCACTCACCTCAGCCTCCCAAAGGTGCGGGATTACAGGCTGAGCCACCAAGCCCGGCTGTTTTGTTTTTTAATTGACATATTATAACATTACCTTTTTACAGTGTACAATTCATGAGTTTTTAGTGCAACCATCAGCAACCATCTGCACTGTCTGATTTCAGAACATGTTCAAGACCCCAGCTCCGCCAAGCCCATACCCATTAGCTGTCACTATTCCCTCGTCACGCCAGCACCAGGCAGTTCTTGCTCTACTTTCTGTCTCTCTGAATTTTTCTGGAATCATACAATATGTGACCTTTTTGGCCTAGGTTCTTTCACTTAGCAGGATGTTTTCAAGGCTTACCTGTCGGACCATGTATCAGTACTTCATTCCTTTTCAAGACCAAGTAATATTATATTGTATGATGTCACCTAGGTGTTTTTTCATTGTTAAAAGTTAAACAGAAAGAGTTTTCATCTGCAAGATCAAATGGTGGTGGGATATTCTGGAAAACATATTTTCACTTTTCTCTGAAGATGTTCCCTAGTATCCTCTTGCTGCTTTTTGGTTACTTTTTATCTAAGTCTCACTAGTAGTTTTTTAAAGTAATTTATCCTGTAGCATTGATAAGCCTTACATTCTGAATAAGGAATCTGTTTCCCAGTAGTGAAGTGACAAATCTGATTCATGTTTATTAAACAGAATAACAGAAGGAAACAAATATTTAGACTTTAAGATAGTAGCCAAAAAACCCCTAGTTTAGCATTTGAGATCACATATTACGTTAAGTTACACACACACCTTCTATTTTGTGTTACATTTTTATAATGAGGAATTTACTCACAGAGCTCTTCTCTGTCAAATGTTTGTCCACTTCCACCAAACAGCCCCTTGAGAAAGCCTCTGTTTTGAGCTTCGGGTGTCTCTATGGGAGTAAACAAATCTCCTAGCATATCCTGTACCAAATTTAAAGAAAGAAAAAAGCATTAGAGTCACTAAAAAATTACTTGATAGAGAAAAAGTTAGCAGGTGTGTTAGAATACATCACAAAGAGACAGTCTGCTTTCCATATGTACTCCTGGATTTTTGCTTTGCACACAGTTCTCTCTCTGGAGTTTCTTTCTCCACCTCCTTTTCCTTCCTTTCTCTAGCAACACATATCCTAATATTTTCTCTTTTTCCCTCCACTAGTAGAGGGCATGGGAAGCTAATATAGTCACCCTAGGATTACTTTCTACCTATGATCAATGACTACCAATCCAGACCTCTGATCCTTTTTCAGTTACCACAGCCTCTTTCTTATCCTGGTTTCCTTCCCTAAACTAAGTATGGGCTGCCCTATGAAATAGGAAGCCTTTGGTGATATATGGAAGAGGCTGGATCTATTATTTACCTCAAGTACAAAATTATGAAATGGTTCAAGATAATTGAAATGAATCAAAATAGGCAGTGAGTGTATGGTGAGGTAGAATTGTTCTTGATGTTTGTTGTGCCTTAAAATGACTGGAGAAATATCTCATTGGAAATGCAGACATTCAGGTTGTATTCCACATATATTAAATCAGAATCTACACAGCTATGCTCTGGTTATTTGTATTTTATCAGATCCTGCCCTCTTGGTCTTTCTAAAACAGATCAAAGTTTAAGAACCATCAGTATGTGGGAAAGAACTTAAAGAGTCAAAGTATCTGTGACCTAACCTCAGTTTTCTATAAGATATATATATATATATATTTATTTATTTTTTCCCAGTCAGAGTCTCACTCTGTCGCCTAGGCTGCAGTGGCACTCTGTCACCTAGGCTGGAGTGCAGTGGCATGCTCACACAGCCGCCACAGCCTTGACCTGCTGGGCTCAGGTGATCCTTCTGCCTCAGCCTTCCAAGTAGCTGGAACCACAGGCATGCACCACCACACCCAGCTATTTTTTGATTTATTGTAGAGACAAGGTCTTTTCATGATGCTCAGGTTGGTCTTGAACCCCTAAGCTCATGTAATCCTCTCGCCTCTGCCTCCCAAAGCGCTGGGATTATTTCTGTGCATACCTACAAGTTGGTAGGCTCCAAGTGAAGAACATATGTTCAAAACATGTTCTAGGAAAGTCTGATCTAATAATATTTTGTTCTAGGAAAGACTGATCTAATAATATTTTAGTTTTTAGACATCTTTCTCATTCTTTCTCTTTTAACAACTATGCACAATTTTTTTCCCATAGGGGTACCTCCTGACATACCTGTAGATTATCACACATTTCTTGGCTGTATGTTAGCCGTTGAATTTCAGTAGGAGAGACGAGGTACAATGCTTGTCCTTCATTGGTAAAACAAAATGTTCGTGCTATCCTCATGTCTGTCAGTGGCAAATAATTAACATCCAACATTGGGCGAAGACTAGGTAGGCTGAATAGAAAAAGGTAAATCTACGTTTTATATTCAAGTTGTTAGAAGCAGATCCTTACATAAAAACAGTACTTTTTATACTGTTATTTTATGATTGTTTCTTTTTATTTTCTTGAAGGCTCAGTGGTAAGAAACTAGACTTTCACATAAAATTATATACACACAAAAAAAACTATGGGCACTTGTCTCCTAATTCATACAGATATTTAGCAAATGTCTTTGAAGGATTAAATGCAATAGCTAGCAATTTCAGGGCCACTTTTCGCAGCATTTCACAGATTCCTACAATATGATTATAGCCTCTGGTTATATCAGAAATATCGCAGCTAGAAAGTGTCTGACTACATACTTTGTCGACTGCCTCTCCTGAAGGCAAAACTCCTAAGTCTGAGGAGGTTATATCCCAACAGAGAGGTGGAGTGGGTCCAGTTCACTGTGCCCAGAAACGTAGTGGCCTTGCTCCCCATTCCTTTACTCACTCTGTACATAGGAAGTGAAAATTACTTGTAACTTAGGTAACTGCCCTGAAGGTGTGATTAATAAATAAACATGGTCAATGCTGTAAGGGAATGAGAATAAGTTATAAATAATGGACCCGAATTTGCACATCCAATGAATACCAAATATCCGAAGTGTCTTACCCGGGGCTATGTGCTTATCCTAATGTAGTCAGCAAAATATTTACCAGAATGTCCCTTTGGAAACTGTTGTAAGAGCTAGTTTTACAAACCATTGAAGAAAACCAATCCCATTGCTTTTTAATTATCTTTAAATGCCAGAGAGAGAGAGAGAGAGAGAGAGAGAGAGAGAGAGAGAGAGAGAGAGAGAGAGAGAGAAACTTGTAACTCAAGGTTTGAAACCATTCTACCGATTCTGAGTATGCCCACTGATTTTAAAAGATCCCAGGTCATAAAACCAGCACATTAAAATAGAAAGTACTGATTTATCTTATCAAAGTAGTTTCTAACTATTCCTTGAACACTATAAGTTTACTGAATAAAATAGGACCTTAAACCTGCCATTTCATGAGGTTTTTCATGAGGTTCTAAAACTGTGGTGCCCAATATGGTAACCACTGACCACACGTGGTTATTGAGCAGGTGGTATGTGCCTGGTCTGAATTTAGATGTGCTGCAAATGTTAATTACACAATGGATTCCAAAGACTTAGTATGAATAAAGAATTATCTAATATCTAAAAAGAGATATTAAAAGATGACCTGTTATAGCACTTCAGGTAACTAATCTCCTTAAGCTGCAGTCTAAAGCAAACCCAGTTAAACAGATTTCCTTGATAGATTCAGTCAAATTAATGAGTGAGGGTGAGGAAGCGGTTCCAATGGACTTTTCTGATGGGCTACATTGTCTATGCCGTATAATAAAAATAAGCCCCTCCCCCCAAAAAAAAAGAAAAGAAAAGAAAATGAAAGAAAAAAGGTAAAATCACTTCAGGTAGGAAATGGGAAAGAACAAGTCACTTATTAAATTCTAGGAAATAATTGCTTTTAAAACTGAAAAAAAAATATTTTCTTCTATGAAGGACAACTTAATAAATAGAGTCAGGTAACTAAAGATAGTTCTTACAAAAAAGTGGCCCTTACATCCCAGTTTGAGAATTTATACATAGGTAAACCTTTTGTCTCTCTATTTTATTTTATTTTATTTCATTTCTTTTTGAGTAGGAGTCTCACTCTGTCACCCAGGCTGGAGTGCTGTGGTACACTCACGGCTTCCGTAGTCTTGACCTGCGGGGCTCAGGTGATCCTTCTGCCTCTGCCTTCCAAGTAGCTGGAACCACAGGCACGCACCACCAGGCCCAGCTAATTTTTTTTTAATTGTAGAGACGAAGTCTCACCAAGTTGCCCAAGCTGGTCTCAAACCCCTGTGCTCAGGTAATCCTCTCACCTCCGCCTCCCAAAGTGCTGGGATTACAGGCATGAGCCACTGTGCCCAGACCTCTCCACTCTCATATTTGCTTTTCTAGGCTTGGGTACTTAGCATCTACACAGTCATTAGCTACCTGCCATCAATCAGAAAACTAGGACTGGAGAAGACTGAGTTCAGGTCAATTGTGTTCTGACAGGGCCTGGAAAGGTTCTAGGAATATACTCAGAATGGGAAAATTAATAAAGCGAGGAGCATGCTAATTTGCAGGATTCGTTTCTTCAAGCCACATAACAGAGTACACACCATCATTTCCTACTTATACTTTACATATGTATTACTAAAATCATGTCATTTCCTTTTCAAATATTTTTGAGGCTCCTCAGGAACACATGAAGAGTTTCTACTATGACATAATATCAAAGTAGCCATTATCATGCAAAGCAGCTTTTACAAAGAACAGAGGACGGACGACAGATACCGTCTTCATTTCTCAATAAATCTCTCATCAATCTAGATGGTAGCACATATTCATTTAAATATAAGTTAATTTGGGGATACATAACATCACTTGAGAAACGAAGAAACACTAAAATTTTGCAAAAACAAAGTAAGTAATCCCCATCAAGCTAAAATTCCAGTTGTGATATAATAGCATTCAGTGAAAGACAAATTTTGAGTGACTAAATGCTAGCTTAGGGGAGGGAAAAATTTGTGTGAGATACACACACATTCACACACACACACACACAACCAAAACAAACTTATTTTTTTCAAAACCGAGGTATGTCTAGGAGTTAAATAATCATTTTCAAACAAGTCTGAAATGAACTTCACTGGAAATTTCTAAAAATAGTTTGAGAAAATGAAAACCAGATAAAGAGAGAATCTGAAATATATGAGAGAATGAAGAGACCATAAAATGATTTTTTTATTTTTAAACACTTTCTCCTTCGCTAACTACTTTACCTTGTCTTACAAGTCTGTTTATGTCTCCCCTATTAAAAAAAAAAAAAAATACTCTTAAAATTTAGTTTCATTCTTGAACTACTTTCCTGTCTCTCATTTCTCTCTTTGCCACAAAATTTCCTGAAAAAATAATCTATACTAGGGTAAAAGAGCCAGGTAGGAAATATTTTAGGCTTTGTAGGCCACACAGTCTGTGCTGCAATTATTCAACTCTGCCCTTCAGTGCAAAAGCAGTCAATATACAGCAGATGGGTGTGGCTCTGTTTCTGAAAATCTTTATTTATGGACACTGAAGTTTGAATTTAGTATAATTTTCACATATCATAAAATATACTTCTCTTAGATTTTTTTCCAACCATTAAAAAATGTAAAGACTACGCTTAGCTTGCAGGCTGAGCAAAATCAGATGGGAAAGTGGGGATATATTTGGTTTATGGGTTACAGTTTGCCAACTCCGATCTACACACTGCTTATATTCTTGTTCCCTTGAAAATTAACTTTTGCCTCTACCATGTTGCCAAAATTTGCATTCTCAAAGGTCATAAACATCCTACTAGTTGCAATAGCTAGCATTTTTTACTTACACTCAAACTCTTTGACTTCTCTGCTATATTTTACTACCTCTTGACCACCTCTTTTGTTTCGATATTTCTTTCTCCTTTTTATTTCATGAAGTTATACCATTCGATCCTTTTCCTATCTTTCTAATGACCTTTCAGTCTCCTTTACTGACCCTCTTCCTTCTTCCACTACAATAATTGCAGAGGTATATCCACATTTCTATCTTCAATTGTCTATTTCTTGTTTCATTAAATTGCCCATTAAACTTCTGCTGACTGGCATATAAACACCTCAAATTTCAAATATTCATTCTCAATTTATTCTCAAACATTGTCAGCTTTTCCAAAACCTTCTGACTTCCCTATCTGTTAATGGCATCCTCACTGTTATCCAAGTAAAAAAAATTTTTCTAACCTTTAAACTTTTTATAACTCTAAGATGTAGCAACCTTCATTACCATTTATAACCAGTTAGTTTTGTATTTAATAAGTTCCTCCTTTATCCCTCATACATGTTCCTTTCTTGCCTTCTACATAGCTACCATTTCAGTTTAAAAGCCCATCCCAAGCTCTCCCTCCATGTGTATTTCCTAATGCAACATTAGAGAAGGTTAATTACCTGCTTAAACTCCTATTTCCTATTAGTTGAATAATGTCAAACTCTTAGACTGACATTCAAGGTCATCAACAATGTGTTCTGGTCCACCGCCAGGTTATTTTCCTCCCAACAACTCTTCTTTTATAATACATGTTCTATGACTTTGAACTCTGGGAACTAAATTTGTGACTAGAAAATTCAATCCCCTATTTTCTCTGTTGGAATTTACATTTTCCTTTGTGTTATAATTTCTCGTGCTGCAATTACTCCCCAGTTAGATGGAAAGCCTCTTTTTTTTTTGAGTGGGAATCTCACTCTGTTGCCCAGGCTGGAGTTCAGTGGCACGCTCACAGCCACAGCAGCCTCAACCTGCTGAGCTCAGGCGATCCTTCCTCATCAGACTTCCAAGTAGCTGGAACCACAGGTGTGTGCCACCACACCCAGCTAATTTTTTATTTATTGTAGAGACGAGGTCTCACCAAGTTGCCCAGGCTGGTTTCAAACCTGTGGGCTCAGGCAGACAAGAAGCTTCTTAAAAGTCAGAAGCATGTTTTACTAATTTATATATTCCTTCACAGGCCTAATACAATGCTTAACTGTTTCAATGATTTTTAGAACTAGGTGAAATATTGAAAAGAATGACAGTGACTTCTAAATAGTACAGAGTTATTAACTATTTGCTGAATTCATAATTAGGTAATTATTTTTGTGTCTCATAAACTTTATTTCATTTCACTAAGAGTAGAATGAAATCTTTCAGTTGATACCTTATTTTTAAAAAGTATCTGATGACTTTTAGTATACTATTCAGTGCTGGCTTCATTTTTCCTAGACTTGTAACCTCAGGCAAATAACATAACTTCAATTTATAAACATATGTAAAATGGAGGATGCAAATAATACCTTAATTTTCCTATGACCTTTAGGAGTTCTAAGGGTCAAGTGAAATTTTATGTGTAAAATTCTTGAGTGAAATATAAAACATAATGAAAGTAACAGTTAACTTCTTTTCCTTTTAACTTATTCATCTTTTATTTCCAGTGACTAGCATAGTATCTGGGAGATAACATACACTCAGTAAATGTTTGTTGAATGAATGTATGAATGATTGAAAAATCATTTTTTTCTAAGATTACTTGATGTCAATTAAAATATATCTTTTATTCACAATGCCAAACATTTTTAGCAAAAAAAACTAAAAAATAAAATTGGAAAAAAACAAACAAAAAAACCCCTCAAAACCAAAACTCTCATCAAATTGTTGAATAATAAAACATCCACAAACATCATGAAACAATGATCTCAGGCTGCTTCTTGATAATATCTTGCATATTACACTTATGCTTTTTAGAACTGTACCTTTCTGGCATTGTTATAATTACCAGATAATTTATAAAGAAGGCAAGTACCTCATTATCATGATATGTCCATTAGCACAAAAGCATGCCAAGCAGGCACTGTTACACATGACCACCACATTTGCTTGCAGTATAAAAGATGTCTCAGTGATGTTATGGACATAAAGGCAAGTCTGAGAAGGCAGTGAGAAGACTTTGGCTTGTTTTTCTGAGCAGATTATTGTATACTGATGATCTCCTATTTCTTGGGATGCAGAAGGTGAGTTCGTGACCACTTTCCTTTTCCAAGATTTTTCGTTTTCATCTATGCTGTTTGGATCCCTCCAAACTTCATAGGGCGGTTGCATTAATCCACCAGTTCGGTCCATACAGGAGAATGTTAGCACAGCTCCTTTCAGTGTGAGCAATGTACCTAGAAAAACAATTTTATATCACTGACACGTGAAATTATTTCTAAAGTATCTATGGGCAACAAAAGTTTTACATTATGATAATTTATATCTATAGTGTTATATTATTGCCCTAACATACATTAGTAGATTCATGAGTTCCTCTGTTGCAATAGCTTGGAACTGTAGAATGGTAGATCTAAAAGGAGCTTAAGATGTCAACTCATCAAATCATCCCTTTATATTAATTTAAAAAACTGACCCAGCCGGGCTCGGTGGCTCAGCCTGTAATCCCGCGCCTTTGGGAGGCTGAGGTGAGTGGATTGCCTGAGCCCGCAGGTTTGAGACCCGCCTGGGCAGCGAGACCTCATCTCTACAATAAATCAAAAATCATCCGGGTGTGGTAGCGCGTGCCTGTAATTCCGGCTACTCGGAAGGCTGAGGCGGAAGGATCGCCGGAACCCACCAGGTTGAGGCTGCGGTGGCCGGGAGCAGCCACTGCACTCCAGTCTGGGCGACAGAATGAGACTCCAATTCAAAACAAACAAAAAAAACTGACCCAGAAAGGTTATGAGACTTGGGTCAGATCACATAACAAGTTAGTTCAGAGCTTGTACTAAAAGTCAGGTATCCTGATTCCTTATCCAGTATTCTTTCATTATACTATATGGTCACCTTAAAATACTTTTTAAAAAGGAAAATTTAAAAAATTATGTAACTTATTTATTGGAATAATTTCAACTGAAAAAATTATATCATCTGACTCCATTTTTGTCATTTCAGGCTAATTTGCAAGAAAACGCTTGTCTCAGTCTGTCACCTAGGCTGGGTTGCAGTAGTGGGATCATAGTTCATTACATCCTTGACCTCCTGAGCACAAGTGATCCTTCAGTCTCAGCCTCCCAAGTAGCTGAGACTACTGGTGCATGTCACCATGCTTGGTAAGTTTTTAAATTTTTTGTAGAGACAAAATATCACTGTGTTGTCTAGTCTGGTCTTGAGCTCCTGGCCTCAAACAATTCTCCTGCCTGAGCTTCTCAAAGTGCTGGGATTACAGATGTGATATAAATATGCTTTTAAAATTTCCCTCTGAAATTGAACACTCAGAATAACTTTCATACAATTTAAATATTAAGAGTTTATGCTAGCAATTTTTAATTGTATGAAAAAGACAAAAACAACTACCTTTGACTCTTAGGCAGGTTTATGTATCTTTATACAGAAAAGGGTCTTACTCACCTGAATTTTCTGAGGTTGAAAATTCATGCCAGATTATAACCTATGGGTGATTTTTACCAATCTCAGAGGATATACTATAAATTTTAAGAGGTAATGTAGACTATATTGACCTTTGGGCATTTCCAGACTTCCCTAAGCAGTGTCCTACTGGCCCCTTCTTTCCTTTATCCTCGTACATCATGCAGAGAAATTGTGTTAACTCAAAGGTGTACATGCATGTGAATGAGCCTTGACAAGAGAAGGGTGACAGATAAAATATATATATTCATTCAGAAAGCACTTTACTTATAATTTTGAGGACTTAAAATTTATCAAATTCAAAAGAATATAGTTGGATGATCTAACATCTTGGTTGTGTTTTTAAACCCACTTTAAAACTAGGAAATCTGTAAAATGGCTCATAAGGGTAACCAAGGAGGATAGGAGAGTAGAGGTTTAGGTGCTTCAGTCTAAGGGTCAGTCTAAAAAAAAAATCTCTCCATAATGCCTAAAGCTATGAAGAATTATTTAATTAGAATTCATATAGGATTAATCCTGCTATTTGGTAAAACTGCATTTTTTTAACTACCTGCCTGCAAAGACTTTTCTAAGTATAAATATCAATATCTTTGCATTCTTGATTAAGAGATGGTCAATAATAGATTAAAAAGACAAGAAATCTACATTTTGGAAGCCAGTTTACTTATATCTGTTGTATATAAGCTGTCAGCATCAAAATGAGTTTCTCAATAAGTTGCCCTTGCCAAAACAGTCGTTTTATTCCCTAATTTGTAGTTTCATTGGGTTTTATAGGGTTAAGTTTTCCCAACAATGTATTATCAATCTTTATGACTCTGCCTTTAATCTTTCCTAGCTTGAAAAAAAAAAATCCAAATTACAAGCTACTACTATTTCATAAAGACACTTTGGTGCAAAGTAAGCTTAAACTTAAGGATTCCTACAATAAGATTTTAATTCAGTATACATTAAATAATTCACCACATAATTAATTAATTAGGACTTTCTTCTAAAAGGAGGTCTCACTGACTAGAAGTGTACTTTACTCCAACTTTCTGAATAACTAGTTTACCCCCACTACAACTTTCATTCATTCAATCAACAAACATTTATAGGACTGGGGACTTACTATGTGTTCTAGACTCTGTTTTAGGCATCGGCAATATAATAGTGAATAAAACAGACAAAAGTCCTTGAGTTAACAGAACTTACTTTCTATGATAGAAATAGAAAATATACATTAAAAATAAATAATTACATAAGATATTATATAGTAATAAGTACTAAGGAAAAATTACAGCAGAAAAAGAAATAGAAACCCTTGGGAAAAGGAGGTTGAATTTTAAATAGACTAGAAGGTGTTTTGGACTGAATGTTGTGTATCCCTACCACCACCTCCCACAAATAAATATGTTAAAGCCCTAACTCTCAGTGTGGATATATTTGGAAATGGGGCCACTAAAGAAATAATTAATGTTAAGTGAGGTCATAAGGGTGGGGCCTTGATCTGATAGAATTAGTATTAGTATTCTTATAAGAAGAGATACCAGAGTGCTTTCGAGTTTACTCGTTCTTGAGCTCTCTCTCTCTCCCTCCCATCTCTCCCCCTTTGCCTCTCTATCCTTCCCCGTGTGTACACAGAAGAAAGAACATGTGAACACAAGGTGAGAAGGCAGCCATCTGCAACCCAAGGGAGAGCCTTCACCAGACACTAACTCTGTTGGGACCTAAGGAAATAAATTTATGTTGTTTAAGCCATCCAGGCTGTGTTATTGGTCATGACAACCCAGACTGACTAATATAGAAGGAAAGGCTTCTTTATATCATCCTGTGGAAATTAGTGCTCAGGAAACCTGATATTCTGTTATTGTTGTGAATAATAAATTATCCTTCATTTATGACTCAGGAGTCCCATCTCATGTCTTCTATCAGCATCCATGAACTGGCAATCTAACTTTATCAGTTTACAAGCTGAGTAAACTCTCAGTCTCTTTATAGAACTTGACTTTATAGAATGCCAAATGTAAGACTCACATGAGGTGAGATCAGAGATAAAGTGGAGGAAGATCATGTAGATTCTTTTAGGTCCCAGCAAAGACTTAGACTTTTGCTTGGCATAAGATGGGAAGATTTTGAGAATAGGATTGTTATAATCTAACTTTCTTTTAACAGGATCGCTCTTCCTGCTGGACATATTGTAAAGGCAATTAAGATTGGAAGAGTGGAGAGTAGTGAAGGTGAGAAATGGATAGAGGCTTGTATGAACTGGGTAGTAACAGTAGAGGAGGTGAGAAATGTCAGAATTTGAATACATTGTAAAGGTCACACCAGCAGGATTTGCCAATAAATTGGATTTGGGACATGACAGAAAGATAGGAGCTAAGGATAATTCCAAAGTTTTTGACTTGAGAAATTGGAAGGATGGAATTGCCATTAATAGATACAGGAAAGACTGTGGTAGAAAGAAAAGGAATATCAGGAGTTCAGTTTTAAACATGCAAAGTTTGAGATGCTTATTAGATATCCAAATGGATGTCAAAAAGCTGGATATGTGTCAGGAACTTGGAGATATGTCCAGACTATAAACATAAATGTATGACCCATCAGATTATAAATGGCAGTCCAAGTCATGAGGCTGACTGAATTCATTTAGGGATTCAATATGGGGAGAAAAGTTTTAAGGAATCAGTCTTGGGAAATTCTGATGTTTTAAGTCCACTGAAATGAGGAGGAATAAACAAATAATTCTGAGAAAAAATAACTAGAATCTTAGAAGAAAACCAGTAAATTTTCTGGACTCTGAATGAAGTGTTTTAAGGTAGAGGGAAGATAGCCTGGGTAATATGTGGCTATGTGTTGGGAGCCGGCCACGGAGGCCCACTGAGCGTTAGGGATCAGGGAGGGCCGTGGATCTCGAGACCACTAGGATGTGTTTGGGAGCCGTAGACCCCATTTTCCTCCCCCTTTTGCCATGCAGCACAAACAATCTAAAGGAACTCTGCTGGCCTAAGCTGAAGCCTCTGTGACTGTGACAGGCAGGGCTCACTCTAGAAACCCATTGTTCCTGTTTCCCATAAACTGCGGTTTCGGCTTAGGTATTAGATATAATTCAAACTCAGGTCACATTTGGGAGCCTTTTACACGGTACAAGCCTCTTTATAAGATTTAAAAGAATATTTGTAGAATTAGTATATACTTATGGAGAGCTGTTTTCAGCTTTTCAATGGTATAGATGATTATCAAGAGTGGCCCAGCACAGAGTTTGGGCTGGGCCACATTCCTGAGAGCCCAGCACGTACTTTGGACTGGGCTGCATTCTTTTAGGCCGACTTTAGCTACAGTTAGTGTAAGGTCTTTTTTCTACCTGTTATAGAAATTGAATTTATTTTATTCATAGAAGGTATGTAGAATAGGTCATGCTACAAATCATGTTAGTTCAAACATAATCAATCATAATATTTTTAGGTTTAATAAGAATATAGTTAACTTTAGAAATTTCATCGTCTCCACTTTCTACTATCGAAGTTTTGGCCTTAGTACATTTACAGTTTACATTTAGGTTTTAGAAGCTTTGCTGCTGCTAATCAGTTTTATATATTAGAATTAAGAATTGGAAAACTTTCATAGAAATTAGGATAGATATATAGGACTTTGGAATAGCCATTTTGTTAAGAGATTGTAGTCTATTGTTCCAAAAGGTGGCCCACCGTGGACCTTGGACTGGGCCACATCCTGTAGGACTGGGCCACATTCTTTAGGAAATTGGCTTAAGCTATAATTAAGAGCTTCCG